TAACCCTGTCCATCTGTATAGTTTCAATTACCCTGCAAATGTTCTGGCCTGATGATGATTTTCTGAAAACATATGTTTGCCAATCTTGACTTCTTTGCTTGTCTTTGTTAGCGGTTTTATCTCTGGCGATGGACTCCCACAAGAGTTTGAAAGCTCAGACTAAAAAAACTATGATTCTGGTGATCGACATGGCTTCTTCTTCTCAATCTGTGCACCTGGCTAGGATGCGAACCTTTGCCTCAATTCGTGAGACTTACCGACATCTGTTAGTTAAACCTTAAGCCCAGGAACGAAAAAGCGCGATTTTAACCCAGAAGCCAGTGACAATATATTACCAGATTAACAGCAGTATTTGGACCCAGGAGTTGCAGAATGATCAGCAGGTGACGAGAAACGAGCACAATTTCCTCCTTACTGACTATGCTTCGCTGTACAACCAATTCCCAAATACGGGCAGGGCGCGATCGCAGCAACCACTCGCGGCCCGTAATGGGGCCAGATTGGCCGAAAAGTTTCGGCAATTGACTTCACGCGTTGGTCAAAAGGCTTTGCACTGGGAGGCCGACTGTTCGGGAGGAAACGAGGTTGCATGCGAAGTATAACCAAGCAGACCCTTTAAGACTTGAGAACCTGGATTCAGCAGAATTTAGAAAGGTAGGTAGGTAGGTAGGCAGGGAAGGTAGAAGGGAAGAAATGTCTACTTTAAGAGAGTGTATGTCCTCTCCGGTCTGCAGGAAGGGCTTAGACAAGGGGGAGGAGGATTCCCTATGATCCCAAATGTGTACAGCAAATCTTCAAAAGTTCCAAGTACCTTTAGCCGCGGAAAGGGACAATTCAACATGTAGTGTTGGAAGAACTCGGTACAGAATAAATTAAATAACTAAGAAATTGTAACAGAATTGTAACAGAAGAAAACTGCAAGAAAGTTCCCTAATGAGTCTACTTTTGAAGTTTGAGAAGTTTGATGACTGTGATACTGGCCAATGTTTTAATTACTTGCGAAAATCCCAGATAGAGAGAGTTTAGAACAGAAATAGTTTATCAACAAGCGTATGGAACAGCAAGCCCAACACATGCCATTAAAACACGGTCTTCAGTTGAAGTTGACCAATAGCAGGATAATCTGAAGTGAGATTCAACACAAACGCACACACCGCAGATCAACTCACCTTGATGGTGTTCCACGGAAGAAATTCCAGCCGCCATGCAGGCGACTTGGTAGCTTGAGGGAATTAGTTTCTGGATGCCTCGTTGAGGCATCTCTTTTGATGACGATGCCGTCGCAGACGTCGTCATCACCCCAGACGCGGACGAAACTGAGGAAACGGTGACAAAGTTCTTGATGGTGCCGGCAGGCTCGGACGAACAGGCGGACTGCTGTTGTCGATGCTGTTGATGGATGTTATTCTCAATCGCCAAAGTAGCCGCTTTAGCAGCCTCACGGAGAGCCAGCCAGGTCTCATTGTTTACCAAGGAGGGGACTTTAGACGTCTGATTGTTTGGCGGCCCGGCAACTAAGCGAAGAGCAAGGAGACAGGAGGTGAACACGGTGAAAGCACTGGCGAGTTGATTATCCTGTCGACTGGCAGGCGTAATAGTAAACTAACCGTCTTTTGCCCTACTTAAACTGCACTAGATTGACGCAAAGCGAAGAACGGTCGTGGACAAGATCGGTGGCAACAAGCATAAACAATCGACTCTAATCCCACTACATTCACCAGCGAAGACAACGTATTTCGCGTCACACTGAGGATATGAGTCGATGTAACCCCACCTGGGCCTCGAAAATCGCAACGTTGCATTTAAGCAAGATCAAAAGGGCGGATGCGAAGAAACAAATAAATGGCCTACATGGCTGACGTGCACACGATTACGGCCAACAACTCTAAGATACTAGACCTGCTAATTTTACTTGCAGACTGCGTTTGGGAACATCCCGCGGGCATGAAAATATTACAAAAACCGGTAAAAGGTCCTGTAAGGAAATTCCACATGACGAAGGACAAAAAATATCGAGCATAGGCGTAGACGGATGGAGGCGGAAGCTAGCTATTGTTATGGACCAACATGATTTTCTTTCCTCTCAGGTTACGGTTGGTTGCGAAAACCTCATTACAGACACTAATCCGTGAGCGAAAATAACTAGGCTGGCGTCATCATGGGACACTAGATCACGGAAGCAGGGCCGAATACATGAAAATCTTACGTTCAAAAGTGGGTAAGGACCATCATTCAATAGTCACCTGCCTTGTATTACAGTTATTCTGCAATCGATGGTTTAAACACCAACAACTGCCGAGGACTGCCGCTTACCCGGAGAAGCAGATATGAACTACGTGTGATTGTATATAGA